AGATAAGTTGAAAAATCACAAGAGTTAAAATTAAGACGCAGGCAAGCAGGAAAATCACAAACGATCAAGAAACAATCACAAAGTAGGTAAATCATAAGGGTCAATCAGGATAACTAGGCCGTGACTTAGTGACCTGTTTGACCCTTGTGAACCTACTTGCTTTTTTTGTTTAAACTTTATGACCGTTGGAACCTTGTAATTGTACCGCCTGGCGTCCCCCGTTGACCCTCTTATTAGTTTCACCCTCCAGATTGAAGGATTGCTTCCGTTGTTTGACCCTTGCGACGTTTGACCCTTAGAAGGCATAACCCTTGCGATATTTAACCTTCGCAAGGATAACCCTCGTGATCGTTTGATCTTAACGATTTCCGGCCGATGTACCTCTCACTTTTGACTTTTGTGACTTTTTAGCTTAGCTTCCTTGTAAAGAGCTTTCTGACGCCCCAGAGGTAAATTACCGGTATTTGACAATGTCACGTCATAAACTTCCATCTGCGAGATATGCCCAACCCTGCTTGCCTCTAAGCTAACTTATATCTAACTCCACATAACTAACTCCACATGCACTGGGTTCGTTTTCCGGCGATGAAAAAATCTTTCATCACCAGGACTCGAACCTGCGCTACTAGGACGCTTTGGTTTATAGGGCCAGCACGCTGACGACGAGCCCAAAGACGTCCTCCCGCTGGCTCTTCTATTTAAATCCTGAGATCGTTTCACTCCCGTAATAAAGTGATTACCAAATTGGCTATAATGTGATTACCAATTTGGTAATTTGCTTTTTTCCGTGATAGGATCCTAGTGAGACAACTTTTTTCATTCATTTACCTGTCATTTGATCGGACATTTTCACTGCTGCCCATCCTAAACTTCTCTGCACAGCCATTTTCCATTTCTTGTATCTGGAGTCTCGTTCTGAATATGAAATACAGTTTTTGAAATTATTATTGTTGAAAAATTTGTATATTTCATTCAACGATCATTCATTAATTCTTCATCTCAAAATACCTTCGGGGGTAGTCGTTGGTAAAAATGTGTCCGACGGTACAGTTTCAACTTCTTCTCCCTCTAAATCCCAAACTCCAATACCTTCTGCTTGTCCAGCGGCCATAGCAGCACCTAGCGTCGTTATATCTGGCATTTTCGACCGAACTGCGAATGGTAATGGGATGACTGAAAAATTTCTAGCTTTCGGGGGTGTTTTGCCCGCGTGCACAATTTCCGATGTACACACATGGGTTGCACACAATTAATTGCACACATCCTCAAAGTGCACACGATTTGAAGTACACATAGATCTCGTACACAGACACTTTTTTTTTACCCAGTTTTTTTTACATAACATTGAATCACACTTGCATGTTTTCACGCTTTTATGTGCACATATATGAGGTACACACACACGCACATTAGTGGATCACATGTCTCAAAATTATACAAAATGTTTCGCACATATGAAACTACTCGTGTGAAATGGTTTCACATGTGCACCTCCACTTAAGGCGTGTGTAACTCCATTTGAGGCGTGCGTAACTCAATTTGAAGCGTGTGTAACTGAAGTTGAGATGTGTGCGACCGAATTTGAATTAAAGGAAGTTAGGGTAAAACGGACACTTTTGACGTTTTTAAAATTTTAATAAGGGGTTGAAATGGTGATAAAATTTAATAATTTTTTTTTCAATACAAAGAACAATTCTTTCCCTTTGTGACAAGATTAAACTGAGCTCAATTGATCAATTTGTTTCTGAGTTATGAATAATTTTTGAAAAGTCTAAAGTATCCGTTTTACCCCACCCTGCCCTATGTGTAAATTAAATTCCATTGTATCTGATTTTTACACGAGTGTAACTTGGTTTCACATAACGCAGTTGTTGAAAGACAATTCTTAAATCTATTCCTAAACTCTCGCGCCATTTGTGAAAATGTTCTCCAAGGTGCTCAAAAATCTAGAGAGGGCTATCCTCTGGTTTCGACCCCAAAATTGGCAGGGTTCTAAGTATGGGTGTCTCACTCAGATTTCTGAAAACTAAATGGTCGAAAATTGTACACATGATAGTGCACAGACCAAATGTTCCATCGATATTAATCCGGCATTCCAATCGGATTAGATTTTCCGTTGATATCTAATTTGTGAATGTGGATAAATATAAATGTGCAGAACTTTACAGTAGAAATGGAGAAATTATAAATTTGATTGTGTTCAATTTTCGCCACTTTGGTGACATAAGTTTAGAGCCTGCCATTGACAGCACTGGTCTCATTGGTAAGTATTTTTTGTTTTTCTGTACATTTGGTACCATGTCACGTAGGGCGTGTTTTAAGGAATTAACTGCGTTGATTGACAGGGATTATTTTCACATATTCATGTCAATTGTGTTACCCTGCAATAATTTGGCGAAAGGTAGGTATTTAATTTGCACACGGTACTTAATTATTTACAGTTACTGTGGTAGATGATGCGATAAAAAACCTCCTGATGATTTTTGTAATGGCCATGCCTCGCGGCCTCGACTAGCGAGTAGGCTTCTATTCTAGAGCAACAAGACGTTTCGCGCTCTCGTCCAAAGGCTTAGAGAATGTCGCCAATATCTAACATTGAGTGTTTATCGACTCAACAACTGGATTACCGACCTCATGTAAAGTGCTGGGTCCATCAAATCTGCGCCGTCCATGTATCGACAACATCGCGCATGGAGACATCGTGATGCAGGCAACGACGCCGACCTTCAGGATCTTCGATTGTTCCGATGGTCTCAGGCTACTTGACAATGGATTTTTACAGGATCGAATTCGTTTCGCTCATTCCACGATCTACCTGCTTCGCTGATTTCTAAAGGTTCACATGCATCTGTCACGACACGCCGACACCACATCGCCTACGATCAGCAAAAGCTAACGACCGATCGTTCAACATGTCCTGCATATGTCTTCATCGTCTCCATCATGCTCATCGCCATCAAATGCTGTTCACCGACCGCTACCCATGTAGAAATCTGGTTTCGTCCGTCTCTCGCCCATGAGTCAACGTATTTCGCCCCGATATCCCTGGCTCCGGATTCGACGACTTCGCCATCGCCACACGTCAATGAAGAGCTCTAGCTGTATCACTTCGCCACGATCAGGTTCAGGCACGAACGGCACGCGCTTCTGATTCGCCACGCCCAACGTCAGGCTCGTACAGCACTAACTCCGTCACAGACTACAAGGTTCGCATCATCGCTCGTTCTCGCCTTCGTCTCGACACGCATTGATGACGGCACCCGGCGACGGCCATCATCGTCTTCGACATCGACACGACTCCGACCAGACTCCGACAGCTTTATCTTCGACGGCCAGCATCGCCATTTGCTCCAAGGCTTCCGAGACGCCTACGCTTCCGAGATGACGTCCAGTTGATCATCATTTCTACGGCATCGTTTTATGTTCCTTGTGTTATCGCCAAACAATTTTAGCCATACTCGACAATCGATATTATTTATTTTCTTTTCGTTTTGCTTTATTTATTTTCGTTTTCTCTTCCGCAGAAGGGGAGTACTTGTGAGGCGAGTCACAAACGTATTATTACTTCGAAATTTAATTAACGCGTCTTGAATATTCTATACCGTCATATTCGAGACGGGCATCATTCTGGCCTTGTCCCTCGCGAGATTTCTGGACGATTCTCGAACCCTCCATAAAAGCAGGTCAATCCAAAATCGCTATTCGGCCGTGAGTGGGTAGCCAAGACTTGGCATGCCAATTCTAGGCTTGGCTGATTCAACACCATCCGCAATTCGGCCATCTAATTTCTCCTAACATACATATCTTCATCAGGAATACCCCAGCTCTTCTCCTTGTTTCGATCTCGATGCTTCTTTCGTTCATCTTTAGTCTCTAGATGTATCCTGGTATATTTTTGCCAGGCCCATACAGAATTTTACGTATTTGCTCTGTACTGTTTCTAGCACTTCTCTTCTTTCCTAGTCCTATATCTACTCGGTCCATAGTAGTCACTTTCTTTGTGTATTTTGCCTATCGATTAGTAGAGGTGAATCAGAATCCACGATATTTAAATTCATTCATTACTTGAATGTCTGCACTATTGTATAGACATTTTTCCGTCTTCCGTATCCATCAGTTTTTGGGCTACAATTTCGTTAGAACAAATAATGCAATCTGTTTCGGTTTTTACAATCTATGTATGTTCCTAGTCATTGGCAAAAAATATCAAAAAACATAAAAAGGTGGTTTTCTAAAAATTCGATGATTTTTTCTAGAAAAATGATGGAATTGAATGATTGTTGTTACAATCAATAGATTCCAATGTGACTCGAGTTTGATTGAATTTTAATCAAAATTTTGATCGTCTCAGCCATTCGAGTGGATAAAGTGCACATTCAAAACAAAAAACTGAGTGATGATCACTTCCGGTCACTCCAGAATATCTATAGTAAGCAAACGAGATCATATAAGATGAAAAAAGTGACCCACAGTAAGTCTAGGTTTGGAAACGCTTATCCCACTGTAGGAACTTCCAAGACTTACTGTCGGTTTCTGGAAAAAATCAACTGTAAAGACTCAAGAGCAAAACTTCCGTTTGTCCCTCTGTCTGTTCGCCTTTGGCATTTGAAATGATCTCACCCGCGGACACTCAAGGTTACTGGACCTTCCAGATAGTTTGGCACATGTGATGATTCGGTCCTTTGATCACTTATCTTTTCAGTCCATCTGACCGTACGAATCAGTTGACCAATCCTTGAGCCCATCTGATCGTTCGGTCAAGATCAGTCAAGATCATAAAACCCTTAAGATTAGTTGACCCTCAATATCATTTGGCTCTCAAGAATAATTTAAATGTCAGGGGACTATCGATTCGGTAATCTCTTAATTTACCATTCTAGATTTTTTTAAGGGGGCGTCTCACCACTTTTTTCAAATCCCAGAAATATTTGACGGAAAATCTTGTCAATTTTTTTAGTACGTTTTTTTAGGTATGAAAAAAGTGGAAGCATGAGTCGTCACATTATCTCAATTTTACGACACTATTTGTTTATTTTCTCCTATAAGGAGATGAGCAAATCCAAATCCCATGCGACTGATTTTGTGGAAGATCATATCGAGTATTTCAAAAAAAAAAAAGTTCGAAAAAATAAAAAAATTTAGGAGGAGATACGATTTTCGAATCTATGAATTTCAAAAATGGCCATTTTCAATAGGAAAAAACGAAAAAAATGCTTGAAATATATTGATATTTTGGAAAACAGTTATAATGTGGCCAAAAAAGTAAAAATTCCCCCGCTCCATAGGTCATTTCCTCCTTCTTTGATTGCCGTCCTTTTTTTCTGGGTTCTTGTGCTTCTTATTATATCGTGCAGCTTTGAACTTCACTGTCTGACGTGCTTCATCTTTGGAAGTTTGGGCATTTTTTCCGTCGAGTACTCGAGTAATACTACTCAATTCTTTTCAACACACTATGTCAAATAACTTACACGGATCAAATACTGCAAACGACTGAGGTTTAATGACCATTCAATGTTTGGGTTTCACGTAAAACGTAAACATTGACGGTTTGGCGTTCTGAATAAGAGTCAATTTAATCACCTAAGTCATGAATTCAATGAGATTTCTCCCTCCTCCCCCCCTGCTCACCAATATCGTTCACCGGTTTGTTTTCACCTCCTAAGTTGAGGAGCAATAAAGAAAACAAGCAGGATTGTAAGCCTTTTTGGCAGAAGCCATGTGACATTTACTTTTTTTTCTACCAATTCCATTGGTAATAAGCTTCCGAATGGATCCGTACAATTTCGCAGATGATAACTACTCAAGAAGCTATTCATATTGGTAAGAGGAATAAACCACACCGACCTCTGATTCTGTCAGAGCTATACAATTTCATCCTGTAATGTCATACGGGCTACAATTTTATCAAATTTTAACTTCTACCTCTGTCATAGCTATGACATTTCATCAAATACAAAATATCATAAATTGTTGTTATGACTTTTTAAGTCATATAGAGACGAAAATCATTGATAAAATGACGATGTGTAATTTTTTAGGAAAAAATTTTTTGGATAAATTGCTCTATGCCCGGATGTACTGAATCGATTGGGACAAAATTTTATACATAACTGTGGGCTCATAATACAAATTAGTACCCAGAATCTCAGATG